TTTTATGGAAAGAACTGTTCATTAAAATGTTGTATCCTACGTTATAGGGCTTGTTTCTCTCTACAATTTCCTGTTTCACAATGTACCGTTTGTGTCGGGGAAGGGATCATAGTTTCATAGTTGTCGATTTTCGAAAGAAATCAGTACATGTATATTATTTCGTATATTATTAATTTTATTGATTTTATGGAAAGCACTGTTCATTAAAATGTTGTATCCTATGTTATAGGGCTTGTTTCTCTCTACAATTTCCTGTCTCACAATGTACAGTTTGTGTGCGGGAAGGGTTCATAGTTGTCGATTTTCGAAAGTAATAATTAAAATAAATTAATTTCTTTCTGGGAGGGGTAATTACCCCCATTACCCCTCCCGTATATGCGTCCCTGCCCTAAAGTCATATTTCTACTGTTGTTATGGTTAAAGTATTACATTTTTCGATAACTATAATCACCCGTTCTGTAGCATTGAACTATATTTTTTTTGCTTCTTTAACATTTTAAAACAGCTAAAAATATGACGTTAATTAAAATTCTATCAATAACAATCAATTAAAGGATGAACACGAAATAGACACGCCTATTGATTTTTATGACTTTTTGAAAAATTCAACTATATTTTCATATTGTATTTTTAATTTTCTCTAAAACGGTATGGAAATTGGTAAAAATATAAACGGGATTGACCATTTTAGAACAAGCAATATTTTTTATTAAGAATACATTTTTCTCAAAATGTCAATAATAAAAAAGGTTTTCCTCTTGTAAAGACAATCCGGGAACATACTGTATAAGATTTAGATAAGTAGTAGATTATTTTGTACCTACTTTTATTAATTGTGAAATATTCCTAGAATAACATTAGGTTTCTAAAACTATTTTTTAGCGTATTATTGGGTAGAATGTACTCATAATAGTCCGTTTCCAAGCTCTGCAGTATTGGGTGGGTCTGATGTAGATGGCCAACCTATTTACGTGGGCAGGGCATACCATGACGGCGACTGGATACCAGCTAAAATTGTCCCAGGACGAAGATCTGCATACCTATCCTACGCTGGCAAAGAAATCTGTGTCAGTAAATACCAAGTAAGCTGATATAATTTGTTATTCCAATCAGGATCGGATTATTTTTTGAATTTAGTATTTTTTTTATCCCGACTCCAGAAGGAATTCGTAGAAGCTATTAAAATGAACAATTTTCTTCATTTTAATAAATTCTTTAAAAAATTTCAAAAATCTTTTCCTGTAAAATGAGATAGAGAACTTTTATTTATCGTTTTTAAAATTTGCATGGGATTTCCTGTGTTCGGGTCGGCGATGCAACCGACGGTATTATTATTGTTTATTCGTAATGTTCTTGTAATAATTTGGTATTTATTATTTGAAATAAAACCACTTACAGAGCTTTCAGATGGAATCGGACCGTCCGAGCAAGTACCATGAGTTTATATGAACAATTTCACATGAGTCGCGTATGCTCCGTCCGGATGATTTCGTCCGACGGCTATCTTGAAAAAACACGACGGACGGTCCGCTTCATCTGAAAGCGCTGTTAGTTGAGTATTCAAATTACAGTACGTCTGTCCGTTCTGTAGCTACGGGGTATCCGTGGGAGGGGAAACGATATTATCTCGATGTTTTTCGTAAAAAATTAGACGACGCGTCCCATCAATAAAAATTCAACAAATTTGCAAGTACAGTACGTCTGTCCGTTCTGTGGCTACGGGGTATCCGTGAGAGGGGAAACGATATTCTCTCGACGTTTTTCGTAAAAAATTAGACGACGCGTCCCATCAATAAAAATTCAACAATTGCAAGTACAGTACGTCTGTCCGTTCTGTGGCTATGCTATGGGTATCCGTGAGAGGGGGAAACGATATTCTCTCGACGTTTTCGTAAAAATTAGACGACGCGTCCCATCAATAAAAATTCAACAAATTTGCAAGTAGGCAATAAAATGAGTGGGCGGAGCGATTTGCGGTGACGTACTCGTCAAGTCGACGTATAAAATATATTGCTGTTTATTTAAATGTTTTTTGTCCGCATTCCTTTCATAGACACAGATCCAGCAGACGAACTGTAGCTAATAAAATGAGTGGGCGGAGCGATTTGCGGTGACGCACTCGTCAAATCGACGTATAAAATATATTGCTGTTTATTTAAATGTTTTTTGTCCGCATTCCTTTCATAGACACAGATCCAGCAAATGTACTGTAAACTGGCTTTAATTCTGGTCTTAACTATAAAGTTAACAAAAATAACAATATGAAAAAAACTAATTCTTTACATACCACATTCCTATATAAAATAGGCGTTTTTTACAAACTATTTTCGTAGTTTTTTTAGTAGTTTCGTAGTTTTCGTAGTTTGTTTGCGTTGAATATTTAAATATACCGGGTGCCTCTCAAAACCGGCTCACCTCTATAACTTTTTTATTTCTTCAGATAAAAACGAGACTTGGTATGATATAATATATGACAAATTAGGAATGATTGGCGTATTCAATTGTTTTCGGTCACTTCCTGTTTCACCGGGAATGACAATATATCGATGGTACCATTTAAGAATCAAAAGTTATAGTCATTACTTTATTATTATACTTTATTATATTATTATTACTTTATTCGATAGAAAATGACACTCTGAATAGATTGACATATCATATGTCAACTTTCTTCAATCCTTCTTCAATCTATAGTGCCATCCATGGCTGTGTTAAAAACATTAATTTTTAATCAAGGAGTCTTGGAAAAATAGATTTGATCGTCTAATGTTTTTCCTGTCTTATCCTGGCCGGTGAAAATATGCCTAAATCGTATTTTTAATCATATCTCAATTTTTTCAAATGGAACAAGGGTGGCTCATTAGCATATTTGGAAAATGCATTTTTTTACGAATAATTTGGTACCACACATTTGGTATTTCAAGTCAAATTGTCGTTATGAACTGTATTTTAATTGCAACAATATTAAATAAACCATATGCGAAAATGTCAAAAGTTGACATTCTATTCGGAGTGTAATTTTCTATCGAATAAAGTAAAAAAATACTCAGGGTGTCATTTCAAAATTAAAAGTTGTAGTCATTTTCGGCGAAACCGGAAGTGACCAAAGAATACAATTGAATACGAAAATCAATCCTAATTTATGTCATATATTAACATACCAAATCTCGTTTTTTATCTGAAAAATGAAAAAGTTATGGGGGTGAGCCACTTTTGAGATGCATCCGGTATATACATTAGAGAAAATCAAATAATATAATTTCGATACAATTATTACATTTTTGTAGGTTTTGTGCGAGCAAAAGTTTGACTGGGTACCATCTACTAATGGTCAAGTACCTCCAAATGCTGTGATTGGTGGTAGGACTTCTTCGGGTGAGAATCTCTACATAGGTAGAGCAAGGCATGGAAACTCTCTAACCGTAGGAAAGGTGAGTTACTAGGAGATATATCATCTGATTCCTTTATATACCGAGTGTTTCTCAAAAGTGGCTCAACCCTAGAACTTTTTATTTTTCATATAAAAAACGAGATTTGGTGTGTTAGTATGTGACATAAATTAGCATTAATTGACGTATTCAATTAGTTTCGGTCACTTCCTGTTTCACCGGAAATGACTACAACTTTTTATTTTTAAATGACACCCTCGGTATTTTTTAGGGATGTCAATCCCGAAAGGTTTTCAAAATCCCGGGATTTTCGAGATTTGAACGGCAAATCCCGGGATTTAATCCCGGGTTTAAAATTATCAATGAAATACCTAATATCATAAAAAAATTTAATATAAATATAACAAAACACGAAAATTAACAAAAAAACTCTTTAAAAAAATCATATGAGCACCAAACAAATTTTAGCAAACAAATTATAGCTACAAATTTTTAAAAAAATAGCGCAAAAATATTGATGCGTCCAAAGTTTCATCCCCCAGTCTTGAACGTATCTTATTACTCAAGATCCCTGCCGAAGAAAAACATCTTTCAGATTCCACGCTGGTGGCCTGAATCACAGAATATCTAGCTATGCAACAGAAGCCTCGTTACACGTATAAAATCGTAGGTATCAAAAGGATGCGGTAGTTTCATTACTAACGTTTCAGCATTAATAAATATCACTATCAATCGCCCTGTATAATATTAATTTTAAAGGTAAGTAAAGTTATTTTCTTAGTTAACATAATAAAGTAGTGTACATATATTAAAAATGTATTTTGTGAGCATATGTTTTCTAATAATATACTTAAACTTAAAACTATTTTAAAAGCCAAACGAATAATTAATATAAGTGTATCTGACAAGAAACGAAGAATAGAAAGAAATTATTATACACCAGAAAAAAAATGGGATGCCAATTAAAGTATTTTTGAATCTAGCAACTGTGCATATTTAGCCGAGCTTCAAAGCCGTCGACATGTCGTTGATCCAAAACCGAAAATTTCCAATTATATTCAGATTATGATATTGTCGCGCCATCTAGTATTTTATTTGTGCAATTTTAGCTCTTTCATTTCGAGTATTTTTCTGTTGCGTACCTAGATATTCTGTGCCTGAATGGTTGATAAAAATTCAAAAGCTTTTTGGAGATTACGTCCCCGACTACCACCATTTGAAAATAATTCAATTTCTTGGGCAATAATGTCGGACAATCGCGTCTTATTACTTCTTTTGGTTTTTATCGGCTTTGAAGATTGTTCTAATGCTTTCTGCAGTTTAACCTTTAAAAGGATCATTATCTTCTCTTCTCAGAAATTCGGCAATGGGAAGCTCATCCTCTTCGCTGTCGTTGCTGGTTCCTCTTCTAGAAGTATCTGATGAATTGTCGAGCTCTAGTCTGATTACAAGCTTTTCTATTTCTGATTTAATTAGGAAAATATTAAGTTATTTAGTTCCGAAATTAAGCAATTTACTCTATGGCATGAAAAATCGGTATTTATATAATCCAATCCCGGGAATTTCATTAACTCTATTTATTCAAAAAACGATTGGTCATAGATATTAAATTTATGAAACAGACTGTCAGAAAACGATTCGTCATACAAAAATATATATTATACAAAAAGTTCGGCGAATTTCTTATGTGATTTTAAAGCTACGTAAAAATATAATTATTTACATAACACAAATTGTTTTAATGGATTAAATGCTTTAAAAACAACACTAATTTCATTTATAAATTGTTTTATTTTTTTTAGATACATCCCAGTCATCATACATGTTACATTTCGTTTGGAGGACAGGAACATTCTAAAAAGACCTACGAAGTTCTAGTTCAACGTCACTAATTGCTTATTTCTAATATTTATATGTTATTAATATATTTTGTAAGCTGCAGTTATAGTCTGTAATTATAGTCTGTCCAACAAATCAGGAAAGATTTTAGCAGATAACATCCAAAAAATGACAGACACAACTGTCACTGTCCTAGATACTCTCGTTATATCTATGTAATAAAATGTTTTATTATAGATACAGCGTATAGTTCTACCCCAGAAACACGTCCATGAATTCTTTTTTGGCAAAAAAATTATAGATAATTTTAAATTTATTTTTACATTTTCCGGGGAATTAAAAAAATAATTCCACCGGTTCATTCTCCTAAAATCTCTTGTCTTAATTATCAAATTTAGTTTTGAACTCGGTTAAAACTACCATACGATCGAAAAAAAAACGGCGTCAAAGACGGCTCAAGTCCAAGACGTTATTTACTTGGCCCGTAATCTTCTTTATTTTATAAGGACGCTTAGTTGGTTTTAAGAAGATTGTAATTTATTTTTATATGAGTAAAGCTGTGGTAAAGATGATTTTTAAAATTCGAGAAAAAATAATTTTTTAGAAAGGGATTTGTGTGTCTGAAGTTCTATCCTTTTTTAATCTTTCTAAAGTTATCTAAAATTATCATCTATAACCCAACCGTTTTTGACGCTGTTTTTTTTTCGATCGTACGGTATAACTTATTTTGTACACTTATCACATTTTTTTTAATTGATTATGTGTTTGAATACACGTATATCGGTAAAAATAATAAAAAAAAGTTAAGTACACATACATTTAAAAATTATTATGAATTCGATAAGATTGACATTGACATCGACACAAAGGCATCTTGACGCTCACAGCTATCTTGATTTTTTGCTAATTTATTAATTTGAAAGAGCTTTAAATGTAGAAAATTTAGTCTAAAATGATCGATATTTATAAAAATATACAGCATTTCATTTAAAAAACTAATAAATCTATATATAATTTAAAAATATATTTGAATCCCCTGTATATCGACGATTTTTTTTACTGTACAAGTATATTTTGAAAAAAACGATTGGGGTGAAAATATGTATAGAAAAAAAATGTCAAAATTTTTGAACACATTGTATTAGACGGGTTATAGTATCGATCATGTGATTTATATGCTTTATATTAATTAATTCTTGCTCCTATGACATATTTTATTAGTAAATATTAGATAGTTGTTACGAAGATGAGATAAGATAAAATATAATGAAAAGATTTATTATACGTTTAACATTTGGTTTTCAAATTTCTGGGAAAGAAGATCGCTACGAAATTTCGAAAAAATGGCTGGTAAGTATTGAAACTCCATATTATTATTTTAGTTATTATATATCTCGTAGTTAGTTTTTGGAAATGAATTTAAATAATTATAATTCAATAATTCCTTGAATTACAGTACAAACATACGCAAACTTTAAATAATGTGCAATAACAATTCTCAAAATTTTAATAAAAAAATATAATTTTTGCCACGTTTTGGAAATCTACCATAATAGTTTTGTATTTTTAATTTAAACAACCATATACTGCTGTATCAGTGCCTTACTTAGTATACCTTGAAATATTATTTAAATAATGATATAAAGGATGTCTCTCAAATAACTGGTAGTATTTCAGCTAGGTAGTATAGTGCGATCCCAGACACAATAGAATAGTATTTTTGGGAAAAAACATATATTTTCTGCTATAACAATTCACCTATTTTCAATTTATTTAAAAATTATGGATAGAAAATACATTTTTTTTGTTCAGATCTACAACCTTTTACAATACTTATATATAGGACACACCCTATATATTCAGAGAAATTAACATCTTTCTGAGTTAAGCACTGAGATAAGTTCATAGAAAAATGTCCCATAATCAATACTAATAAATGGCAAATTATCTAAGGAATTAATATATTTTCTCGGGATAAAAGATTAAATATAATATTTTATAAGTACATACACACCTCAAAATTATCAGCTAACAACAGAACTCTCAAAATTATTTATTTTTTCAATATTGATTTTTTAAAAACACTTGTGAAGATTATGAGATTAACTAACAAAGATTAAGAAATGACAGTACAATGTACAATATACAGAGTGATTTGATGTTCCTAAAACGTTCCATATTCCATATCTAGTTTCTTGCTTTAAAACTAAATTTAAGAGGTTCATTTGCTATATAATTATACTTTTAATGATCATCTGGGAGGAATCCAAGTGTAGATTACCTCTAGGGGGTTTGTGTGTTATCCAAAATTCTTGAGTTTTATTTTAAGTTGGTTTCCACTTAGGAAGCAAAACGGTTCTTGTCCGGTTAGTAGAGTGTTGGCCTAGCCTAACCTTACAGATCTATTGTGTGTTCCCCTTTATTGAGTTATAACGGGCTATAACTCATCATACAGTCTCATGGCTTTGACAAAAACCACTATCCGAGACGGCTTCATAGAGGCCAGCTCTCCATCTTCGACATCGGCCGTACCAAAGCTTATGGCACGAACGGTTGTCGTCTCGGCGCACTCAGTGATAAGGTGTTCTGGGGTTTCCATCTTTCCCCATTTTTCCCACAGAATCTGCATTCTCCGTTGTTTCTCAGCTTCATTCTACTGCGATGTTACAGTGTAGACAGTGTCCTGTTAGAGTTAGAAACCCAGTGACAATCCGAAGATTGTGCTTACTTAAATCAAGGAAAATCTTTGATTCTTCTAGGGCGTAAGTTCTGAGGAACTTTTTCGGTCTAAGAACTTGTCTTAGACCGTTGGAGGATTCCTATTCCAGGTTACGGATGGAGTCCTCCAGGTTCTTCAGTTCCGCTTTAAACTGGTGTCCGCTGGGAAAGCAGAACGGTGCAGTTAGTGGAGTGTTCGCTCCTTTTCTAGTTAGATCGTTTGCTTTTTCACTGCCTTCTATGATTCCTTGGTGAGCGGGCACCCAGAGTAGTAGGACTTTATTTTCTTTGACTAATTTGATCAGTTTCTCTAGGTATTCTTCGGCCAACTTCGAATGGTTACTGAGTTGATCGTTTTTAGTGCTGCTTGACTATCGGATAAGATAGTTATTTCCTGTTCCCGATAGTTCCTATTTTTTCCGATAGTTCCTATTTAT